CCCACACCCACACTGTACAACGACCCACACTGTACAACAACACACACCTACACTGTACAACGGCCCCCACCTACACTGTACAACGACCCACACCCACACTGTACAACAACACACACCTACACTGTACAACACTCACACCTACACTGTACAACGGCCCCCACCTACACTGTACAACGACCCACACCCACACTGTACAACAACACACACCTACACTGTACAACACTCACACCTACACTGTACAACGACCCACACCTGCACTGTACAACGACCTACACCTACACTGTACAATGACCCACACTCACATTTCTCAACCCCCCCCTCGTCACACATCGTCACAAATGTTTGACCCCTCCCCTAGGTGCGTGACGTCATTTATGAACGGCCCCTTAAAGCCTAAACGGAAACTTTTCGGTGCAAGTGCTGTTAGCGAGGTCCTACGAAGACCGGCCGTGGGGTGGCCATCATCACCACGCCCGGCCGCCTTTGTCTCACCAATGCTGCCGTTCTATACACTGCGTCAGGTACTAATTCGAGGCCGAATCGACCTAGGGGAGGCCCAGGACCGTTTCGGATGCAGGCCTCAGCCTGTCTCGAATGGGCGACTGCCCATCCAGGAGGTGGAAGCAACAGCGAATTGATCCTTGAATCCATTTCATTATCACCACATTTTTGTAACATCATCATCATCATCACTACCACCACCACCACCAGTGTCATTATCCTCAGAACCATTATTATTACCATTGCTGCTGCTGTGATAAAAAGATCATAATCAGGACAGAGATATGGTCGGTTGGCAGGTGCCATTAAATCAATGGATTATTGAATCTGTCTGTGCGGATATTTGAGCGTGTTGTCCCAGCGTATGTATATTAATAAAAAGTGTGCAGTACTTGGCCCTTCCCCTCTTCAACCATTATATATAAACGGAGTGGTAGCTCTTGTAATCTCTCATTTACGTGATACAGCTGTCGTGGCTGTGACGGTTCCACCTGAAGACGGAAGCTTGTGTTGCCTCCGAAACGTCGTGATTTTTATTTTATTTTACTTTGATTAATTTTTATTTTTTTACCTACGTGACTTTACCGAAAAAACCTAAGAGTATGTATGTATGTTGGGTTTTCACACGGAGCCAAGCTTTCCATTCACAGCTGAACATCTCAAATGTAACAGGACCCATCTGAGTGAGAAACAGGCTTGCCTGGGTAAACATACGGAATCGTCATGATGATGGATATCACACACACACACCAAGGCATAGGCACATAGGCACATACACACTCACGTAGACACATAGGGGCCGTCCATAAATGACGTCACGCGATTTTCAGACCCCCCCCCTCAAATATGACGTCACAAAGCTCTGCCCCCCCCCCAACCATATTTCCATTTGGAAAATAAAACATGCTTCAAATCGCTTTCAACTATTGTCATTGTAGTGCGTATTTAATGTGGCGCTGCACTCTGATGTTGTAGGAGTGTTGTTATAACAATTAGTGTTGTTAGAACAGTTATATATTTATTTAAAGTTGCGCATTTTGATGTGACGTCATATTTCTCACCCCCCCCCCCCTCGTCACACATCGTCACAAACGTCTGACCCCCACCCCCCAGGTGCGTGACGTCATTAATGTACGGCCCCATACGCAATAACGAACGCATGATCATAAACTCATACGATGCACCGTCATCATGATACTACACAAATTAGAAAACGCAATCGAACTAAAAAAAACTATTAATTGAAAACAAGTTTTGCTCGCTGGTCCCGCGCGCGCGTGTGGCACGTGCGCGGCCGTGACGTCACCGCGCAACATACCGCGCGATGACGTCACCCGCATCACGCAGCGTTGAATCAGGGGTGGTGTCGTGCGTGCTGAAGTCACGCCCCCCCCCTCACCTTTCCCCCCTCCCCACCTTCCCCCCGACCTCCCCCCACCACCTTCCCCCCCCCCACCTCCCCCCCCACCTTTCCCCACCCACCTTTTCCCCCCTCACCTTTTCCCCCCTCACCTTTTCCCCCCTCACCTTTTCCCCCAACTTCCCCCCCACCTCCCCCCCCACCTTCCCCCCCCCCACCTCCCCCCCACCTTCCCCCCCCCCACCTTTCCCCACCCACCTTTCCCACCCTACCTCCCCCCCCACCTCCCCCCCCACCTTCCCTCTCCCACCTTTCCCCCCCCCCACCTCCCCCCCCCCACCTTTCCCCCCCCCAACCTCCCCCCCTACCTTCTCCCCCCACCTTTCCCCCCCCCCCACCTTTCCCCCCCCCCCAACCTTCCCCCACCCACGCTCCCTCCCTTCACCCCGGGGCCCCCCGTGTATCGGCACAGAAATCCGCTGTCCATTGCAACCTGCGTCGGACTGGGGGGTGAGGTCACTCGCAAGTTCAGAGCACCGCAGGCGTCAGCCACCACCGACCCCCTGGGTTTGAACTCCAGCGGTGGAACGGGGCTCTCGAGTGACCCTGGCAAGACATTTTAGCCGATTACAATTCTGCCCTTGCGCTTGATTGAGCTGAATTCGAGAAAAAGTTTTGCTGGCTGGCTGGCGGGCTGGCTGCCTGCCTGGAGGGGCGGACGGACACTGCGGGCTTGCTGGTGTGGTGATATAACAACAACAACCAATAGGAGCCTGTTCCCAGCGTTCGCATTGACCGGAGATTGGCTGGGGGGGGAGGGGGGGCTGCAGGTGTCGTGAGTGGGGGGGGGGGCTGGTGGTGGCGGGGGGGGGGGGCTCCACCATGGGGGGTGGGGGGATGCTGGGGGGGGGGGGCAGGGCTATAATTACACACGGACATAAGCGGTGTGCGCGTGCATTACGCAGGGACAAGACAAAGATTCCACCGCCCCGGTATAGCCTCAACAAACCTTTTGGGGCAAGTGCTGCTAGCGTGCTGCTGTGAAGGCCGGGCACGGTACACGAGGGGGTGGGTGGCGTAACACCACGCCCGACCGCCTTTGTCTCCCCGGTGGCGATGTTTACACACCGCGCCAGGTACTCATTTGAGGCTGAGTTGACCTAGAGCGGGGGTGGGGAGGATGCCCATGACCGGTTCAGAGAATCGTCGCTCGGTGTTGGTGGCCGTGAGCGGGAATCGAACTCGGGTCCGCTGGGTTCGTAGGGCAGCGTTGCGCTAACCGCTGACCCTACCGCTCCCCAAATGCATTACACAGATCACGCACACACACACGTGCACACGTGTGTACGTGCGTGTGCACGTGTGTGCACGTGTGTGTGTGTGCGTTGTGCGCGTGCTTGCAATCAGTCGCCATTCGTCAGTAAGCGACGGTGACGTCACAACAGCGCTTCGTGCCAGGCTCGGTGTACTAGCGCATACAAAGACAAAGATCCCCCGTGTAGCCAATAACAGACTGTTGGGGCAAGTGCTGTTAGCGAGCACCTATGAAGGCCGGAACGGCACACGAGGGGGTGGGTGACCAGCACCACGCTGGGTCGCGTTTGTCTCCCCCGGTGGCGATGTTTACACACGGCAACAGGTATTCATTTGAGGCTGAGTCGACCCAGGGGAGGTCCATGACCGGTTCAGATGAATCGTCACTAGTTTTGGTCACCGTGAGCGCGAATCGAACTCCGGTCACAGGGTTCGTAGCGCAGCGTAGCGCGAACCGCTCTCCCCACAACACGTGCACACGCGCGCACACACATACATGGCAGACACATCCACGTAGTGTTACATGTTGCACAACATACATGTACAATATTCACAGACACACACAGTACACCCATACAAAGGGCTGCTTGCGAGAACCTATTCACGTCGGCCATGGACATTGTCAGCTCCACGCCCGGCCGCCTTTATCTCCCTCGGGCCCTGATTTAAGGCCGAGTCGACCTAGGGGAGGCCCACGAGCGGTTCAGATTATTCGCCACCGCCGTGAGCCGGGCTCGGCAAATTGAACCCAGCGATCCGAGGTCGTGCACTGCGCAACTGCGGTCTCGCCTGCAACAGATTGCCGGGGGCCAAGGGTTGTTAGCGAGCCCATACGAAGGCGCACAAGGCGGGGGGGAGGGTGGTGTTGTTAGCACCACGCCCGGCCGCCTTTGTCTTCCCAGCGCTAATGTTTGCACAATTGCAACAGGTACTCCGTCGACCGAGCGGATGGGGCCGCTCATGACGAGCTCAGGATAATCGCCCCGGATGTTAGCCGGGAATTGAATTCTTAGCGCAGTGCGCTAATTGACTACAATGCGCTGAGCGTCCCTTCCTCCTTACGACGCAAACACAACAACGCGTACAGGCATATTAGCACACACGCACACAACACTCACGCATTTCCATGCACACACTCACATGGCCACGCATAATAAGCCTTTCCATTCGCAAAGATCCCACCGTGTAGCCTGCAACAGACTGTTGGGGCAAGTGCTGCTAGCGAGCACCTATGAAGGCCGGCACGGCACACGAGGTGGGGGTGGGTGGGTGGCCAGCGCCACGCCCGGCCGCCTTTGTCTCCCCCAATGCTACCGTTTACACACCACGTCAGGTACTCGTTTGAGGCTGAGTCGACCTAGGGGACGCCCAGGACCGAGGAATCGAACTCGGGTGTCCGGCTTACGGAGCGCAGCGCGCTAACCGCTACACTACCGCTACCCCCAAAGACAAAGATCCCCCGTATAGCCTTTAGCAGACTGTGGGGGCAAGTGCTGTTAGCGAGCGCACCACCTATGAAGGCCACTCACACACGTACAAAGACAAAGATCCCCCGTGTAGCCTTTAACAGACTGCGGGGGCAAGTGCAGTAAGCGAGGGCACCACTCACGCACGTACACGCACAAAGACAAAGATCCCCCGTATAGCCTTAACATACTGTTGGGGCCAAGTGCCGTTAGCGAGCCCACCACCTATGAATGCCACTCACGCACGCACGCGTACAAAGACAAAGATCCCCCGTATAGCCTTCGCAGACGGTTTGGGGGCAAGTGCTGCACGTGCACACGCCGGAGGAGGAGGATGATGATGACAATCGTCGCCTTACCTTGAGCACCGCCTTGCTAAAGGGCTTGTTGCCCCCAGGGCGGCCCCGGTACGTGGAGACGCACACCGAGCTGATCATGTGGATAGTTGGCCTGGCACATCCAAAGCAAATGGTCTCGCTGCTGCTGTCGCCCCGTGTCGCCTGTTGCAGACGCCGCCGCTGCCGCTGCTGCTGATATTGCCGCTGCTATTATTGCTGTAGATGCTCCTCCTCCTGCTGCTGCTGCTGCTCCTGTTAATAACGCTGTTGCTGCGATTGCTTTAGCTACAGCTGCTGCTGCCGCCACTGCTGTATATTTAGCTGCTACTGCTGCTGCTGGTGCTATAAACTGCCGATGCTGCTGATGCCGTTGTAGTATTGTGAGCAGCAAGCAACAGCGTGCGCTAAGACGGAGAGGAGAGAGCGAGAGAGAAAAGGAGAGAGAGAGTGAGAGAGGGAGGAAGAAACAGAGAGGGAGGGTGGGAGAGCTAAGCCCACAGTCGGGGCTAGCGAGCTGTGTGTGTGTCGTGTCGTCTCGCCAGCTATGCTGGCTGTCTGCTCGGGATCCTGTTGCCCATGGAACTGTTGCTGTGAGCGAGAGGGAGGGATGACTGAGAAGCCGTGGTGGTGGTGGCGGGGAGGGGGCGAGAATATGGGAGGAGGGGTGAGAGGGTGTGAGATGGGGAGACGGAGGAGAGGGGAAGAGAGAGGGTAGAGGGGGGTGGAGAGCGAAGGACGAGAGGGATGGGTGAGATGGGGAGACGGAGGAGAGGGAGGTGGAGAGAGGGAAGAGCGGTGGGTGGCAGGGGCGAGAGATGGATGGTGGGAGAGGATGGGGAGTTGGAGGGAGAAAGAAGGGAAGATGGATGGTGGGAGAGCAGGGGATAGGAAGGAGCGGGAGATGAGTGTGAGATGAGTGTGAGAGAGGTAGGAGAGAGGAATGAGGAGCAGGGATGGAGGGAGGCGGAGAGGGGAGAACGACGCAGTGCTGAGGAGGAGAGAGAGGAGGAGTGCGAGCGGGAGAGGAGGGAATGACGAGAGAGAGAGAGGGACATGGAGTAGGAAGAGAGGGGGTACAGAGAGAGGGGGGTGGAGAGAGAAGGATGGGTTAAGGAGAGCAGAGTGAAAAATATTTTGTTAAATTTTTCATTTAAAAGGGGGGGGGGGGGGTTACGTAAAGCAAAGCATAAATAAACAAAAAAAACCAAATGATGAACGAAGCAAAGTGCCTAATACACCGAGCATCTTCTTGTTTCCACTGATCGTAAAAAAAAGGAGTGAACGGAGGACGGAGAGAGGGAAGGAGCTGGACAGGGTCAGAAGGAATGAGTGAATGAGATGGGGGAATGAGAGAGAATTTAAAAAACGATAGATGCCAAACATTGCAGACGAGGCCCTCGTCCAGCAGCGGATATACCAAAGGGATGTACGCGCTCCGTGGACACGGTGGTGGTAGTGTGACCAGCATCGCGCCCGGCCGCCTTTGTCTTCCCAGTGCTGACGTTTTTTACGCACCTCCGATTAGCATGGTTGGCTACATGCGGTGCGAAAGAAGTTCGATACACTGCACCATTTTAATGCTGAGTCCACCTAAAGGCCGGTTCTGAAACGACTCGACACGTGCCGAGAAATATTCGTATTCTCCAGACTTCCCCCCCCCACCCCAAACCACGTGTTTAAATCAAAAGTTCTGAGTGCCTCTTACGATCCTGCATGGCACAGTAGGAGACACAGATGGTGCATTGGCCGGCCGTCTCAGTCAGTCGGCCCGTGTCTGTCCCGTGACCTCCTGCCAGCGGGCGTTTGACACTTCACGTGGCCTTAACGTGCACCTAGCCTGGCACGAGCGCCGTGGCGACGTGACCGACACTTAGTGGCGTATGGCGGTTGTTGTTGTTGTTGTATGAGACCAGATCTGCACAACTTCTTATTGACTCCGGGCACACATTCGGTGTGCGTCCTGTGATCCCAAGAATGCGGTGCACACGTGCATTTAATGTCGTGGCAGTGATCGATCCACTGCTGGATGAAGGCCTCCTTCCCGATCCTGCTATTTCGTCCGCTCCATATCGTCGATGCACTGGCGGAGCCAGTGGGGGGTGGGGTGGCATGTGCCCCCCCCCCCCCAATGATCCGATCGAAATCCCTAATTTTGATCGGATCAGATCATTGGGGTTTATTAGTAATACATCGGCATTTTGCGACCCCCACTGCCACTGTGTAGCATATTATTACGTGCCAGGGACTCCGTGAGATGATAGGACAATAGTCCTATCAGCTATAAGTGACTCACAGAATTGTGCGCAGTTGCGTATACAGTACACGACTTCCATGAAGGCATCAACACCTTCAGCGAGCGCGATGCCGATCACACGACGCGGTTCGAATTCGACCCTCGATCGATGTCTGCGCCATCGCCGCACACGCGTCGAATCAAAAGCAAGGGACAAGTCATGACTTACTAACAACTCCTTACTTACTAACAGCTCCTCTATCATTTCTCATTGCTGGAGGGGTTGCCCCCCTTCTACCTGAAAATCCTGGCTCCTCTATTGCATCGATGGACGTCCTGTCAGACCCATGTTGCTTGGATGTCACAGCGTCGTTATTCTTGACTATCTTCCACATTCACACGTGTTCATCAATAACGATAACGACAACAATCATAATAACGTACAGGCCTTTTTTTTCTTCTTGGCTCTTTCGTAAGTCACGTAGAATGGAAATAATAAAATAATAATAATAAAACATAATAAAATAATTCTCACGACGTTTCGGCCACAACGCAAGCAGCCGTCCTCAGGTGAAGAATAGGTATGTCGAGAAGATAGAGTCTGAATGACAGGCCTTTGTCAATTCACTGCTCGGGTGGAAGGCCTCCCCGTGTCGCGTCGGTTATGGGGTTGCTGTTGTTTTTTGTTGACCATACTTCACCACGCTGGGCAGATCACAGGGGGGGGGGACAGCCCAATGCCGGTTAGATATCCACTCGCTACTGACGTTAGCCGTGCCCCTTAGAACTGAACTCAAGTGGGCCAGAGTTCGGAACGAAAGTGAGAGCTAACCACTGCGTCACCGCTCCCCCGCCTCTGGATGTGCATGGTTTATGCAGCTATAACCACTCCATGTTGACACTTACCCAGGGAAACCCTCACTTGAGTGGCATGAACTATTCTTTCAGGAGGGTCCTGCCAGGTTTTCGCAGTGGGGGGGGGGGGGGGGGGGGGGGGGGGGCGAATGGGGGTGGTCGGGGGTGTGGCGTTGTTTAATCGTGTTATAAATAAAAAACATTATTTTTGTTCTCACATCATTTTGATCCTGACAACAAAAACAGGTGTCCCATAGATACGCACAACAGTCCAATCGAATCATTTGCCAAGGTTATTCCTGGACACAATGGTCCCACTGTTTTCCGACGAAGTCACGGGATCTGAACGTGAACCGAGTCGCCGGCACATCCAGCGCCAGGCATTAACCAGGGCGGCCACTGGAATTCGAACCGTGAACCTCTTGCGATGGAGCGAGTGCAGCGACTGTGGTGGGGAGGGCGGGCGGGGCTGTGGTGAAGTGGTCTGCAGCGCATTACGTTGCTACGAATCCGGCCACTGAGTTCGACTCCGCGTCGAGGTGTAGGGACGGCTCCTGACCATAACCACAACGTCATTGCTCGCAGCCGTCAATTAGTCTCCGGTGCGGTGTTGTAAAACATCGGCACTGGGGAGACAAAGGCGGCCTGGAGTGGTTATGTCCACACCGACCCCCCGCGCGCCCTCCTACCTCTCTCATCTCACTCCACTCAGCTCCACGCACTCTCCTACCTCCACCTCACTCTATTCCCCTCCACGCACTCTCCTACCTCTCCCCTCACCTCACTCCACTCCCCTCCACGCACTCTCCCTACCTCTCCCTCTCATCCACTCTACTCCCCTCCACGCACTCCCTACCTCTCCCCTCTCATCTCACTCCCCTCCACGCACTCCCCTACCTCTCCCCTCTCGTCCATTCAACTCCCCTCCACGCACTCTCCTACCTCTCATCTCACTCTACTCCCCTCCACGCACTCCCTACCTCTCCCTCTCATCTCACTCCCCTCCACGCACTCCTCTACCTCTCCCCTCTCATCCCACTCTACTCCCCCCACGCACTCCCTACCTCTCCCCTCTCATCTCACTCCCCTCCACGCACTCCCTACCTCTCCCCTCTCATCTCACTCCACTCCCCTCCACGCACTCTCCTACCTCTCCCCTCTCATCTCACTCCACTCCACGCCTCCCCTACCTCTCCTCTCCCCTCTCATCTCACTCCCCTCCCGCACTCCCCTACCTCTCCCCTCTCATCCCACTCTACTCCCCTCCACGCACTCCCCTACCTCTCCCCTCTCATCTCACTCCACTCCCCTCCACGCACTCCCCTACCTCTCCCCTCTCCTCTCATCTCACTCCACTCCCCTCCACGCACTCTCCTACCTCTCCCCTCTCATCTCACTCCACTCCCCTCCACGCACTCTCCTACCTCTCCCCTCTCATCTCATCCACTCCTCACCTCCTACCTCTCCCCTCTCATCTCATCACTCCCCTCCACGCACTCTCCTACTCCTCATCTCACTCTACTCCCCTCCACGCACTCCCCTACTCTCCCCTCTCATCTCACTCCACTCCCCTCCACGCACTCCCTACCTCTCCCCTCTCATCTCACTCTACTCCCCTCCACGCACTCCCCTACTCCCCTCTCATCTCACTCCCCTCCACGCACTCTCCTACCTCTCCCCTCTCATCTCACTTCACTCCCCTCCACGCACTCTCCTACCTCTCCCCTCTCATCTCACTCACTCCCCTCCACGCACTCCCCTACCTCTCCCCTCTCATCTCACTCCACTCCCCTCCACGCACTCCCTACCTCTCCCCTCTCATCTCACTCCACTCCCCTCCACGCACTCTCCTACCTCTCCCCTCTCATCTCACTCCACTCCCCTCCACGCACTCTCCTACCTCTCCCCTCCATCTCATCCCCTCCACGCACTCTCCTACCTCTCCCCTCTCATCTCACTTCACTCCCCTCCACGCACTCTCCTACCTCTCATCTCACTCACTCCCCTCCACGCACTCTCCCCCTCTCCCCTCTCATCTCACTCCACTCCCCTCCACGCACTCTCCTACCTCTCCCCTCTCATCTCACTCCACTCCCCTCCACGCACTCTCCTACCTCTCCCCTCTCATCTCATTCCACTCCATGCACTCTCCTACCTCTCCCCTCCTCTCATTCACTCCCCTCCACGCACTCTCCTACCTCTCATCTCACTCTACTCCCCTCCACGCACTCCCTACCTCTCCCCTCATCTCACTCCACTCCCCTCCACGCACTCTCCTACCTCTCCCCTCTCATCTCACTCCACTCCCCTCCACGCACTCCCTACCTCTCCCCTCTCATCTCACTCCACTCCCCTCCACGCACTCTCCTACCTCTCCCCTCTCATCTCACTCCACTCCCCTCCACGCACTCTCCTACCTCTCCCCTCATCTCACTCCACTCACCACTCCCCTACCTCTCCCCTCTCATCTCCTCACTCACCTCCCACCTCTCCC